AATTTAGTCTTGTAATATTACGACTTTAATGTGACATTATGACTTTATTCTCATACAACTTCATTCTCGTACAATTTAGTCTTGTAATATTACGACTTTAATGTGACATTATGACTTTATTCTCATACAACTTCATTCTCGTACAATTTAGTCTTGTAATATTACGACTTTAATGTGACATTATGACTTTATTCTCATACAACTTCATTCTCGTACAATTTAGTCTTGTAATATTACGACTTTAATGTGACATTATGACTTTATTCTCATACAACTTCATTCTCGTACAATTTAGTCTTGTAATATTACGACTTTAATGTGACATTATGACTTTATTCTCATATTACGAAAATTTTGTTGTGTGGCCCTGACACTCCATCATAGGTTATAGCATCTAACAGTGCAAAAAATAATAAATTAAATAAATAAATAAATAAATAAATAAATATAAATACACATATGTTCACATCCAGATGGCAGTTTATTCAGAAAAGTCCTTAAATAATTCAGCAAGACAGCTTAGCTTCACTGTCTAGGTCAGGCCTATTCAACTAAATTGCTCTGGGGGGCCACAGTTACTGCAGATCAACAGCACAGGGGCCAAACATCCAGCTGTTAAACTAAATAAACTAAGTATTACAAAGATCTGTTACCTTTGAAATAGTTTATTTTGCTGCATTTAATCATGTACAGTATAATCATGTATATGGAATAAAACATACATAACCCTATGTAATAAGTATAGTGATAATTATACAACATAAACAAAAATAACACATTAAGCCTCATATTTAACACAAACACTATTTTGACATCTCTGATTTGCCAAATTTTTAAACCAATTTTATTTTCATTTTCATAGTTTTATCTTCAACTGTTTGTAGTTTTAACTGTCTTGAGTGTTTGTAGAAATGGTTTGTATCAGCTTGTAGCCAAGATTCTGGTGTTTCTGTAGATACCAAACATGTCTATTTTTAACTAAAATAACTTGTAGTACTTAAAGTGGAAAACTGGGGGTTTGGGCTTAAAAGATGAATGAACCAATTGACGGGCCGAACTTTGGTCACTCGCGGGTCGGATGTGGCCCGCGGGCTGCCAGTTGAATCTAGGTGCTTAACTGGACCTCACTATGTGAAAACATTTCAAGAATCATAAAAAAAAACAAGTCCAACAAAGACAATCCAGGATGATTGAAAATTACAATCATCAGACAAAAATGGGGGCAGCATAACCTTTAGAAACTGCTCTCCTCAGCACCAAAATGTTTACAGAGGATGTTTCACAGAGGGAAAGGCRTTCCTGCTGCCAAACCCAAAATTAGCTATTTTTTTCTCCCTAAAACTTGTTCAGTTTTTTTTGTTTAAACATACGTTTTTTTAAGGTCAGCTGCTCCAGTACTGCTGCTGTTTTTTAATCCTGAAGCTGCAGCTTTGAGCCCAAGTTGTWTCAGGTTTGGCATCCAGCATATAAAAATGAACAAATCTTTCGATCAAGTTCACTTGCTGTGGTGACCCCAGCAGAAAGGAGCAGCTGCAAGAGCAACCGTGTTCCACTGTAAATACAGTGTCTGTGTGAGTTCCAAATCAGTGGGTTTTGAGGAGTTACGGTTGTAATGAGTTGAGCCTAAGTTCCAGGCTGGTCCAAAAAGATGATCTTTTTATTTTATTTTATTTTATTTTATTTTATTTTATTTTTTTTGTTAAAGTTAGGCAGGACTTCAGAGTTTGTGAAACAATAACTACTTTGGTAAAACAAAAGAGCCGATGAGACAGAAATTCTACTGGAAAACAGGGAACTCAGAGGACAAAACACCAGGAACACTGTGATGACATGTAAAACTGTACAACAGATGAACTGAGGAACACAGAACAAAAACCCAACAACTCAGGAGTGTACCAGTGTTCCCTGTTATCTGTGCTTCCTTGTACATAMGTTCTTTGTTATCTATATTCCCATCTACCTCCCCAGTACRATGCCTGCACTGTACAGTTGTAATTTGTTTTAAAAKATATTTGAAGGGGGAGCCACACGTCTTTCTTGAATTTCATTTTTAACCATTGGGACAACATAGGYACCAGGAAACAGGGCTGACTTCAGACACCAATGAACCTAAATCACAAACACCTGGGTAGTAGTTTTAAATTTATGTTTTTACAGTTAATTATTCAGTGAGCAGGACTCTGGCCGATGATGTTTGTTTTTGAACGTACTGTCCAAATGAATTTGATTTGATTTAGAAGAAGCAGCTGCTTTCCGAACATTTCTGGAATTAGGTAAACATCGTTTTAACACACGGACAAAAAGGATTCAAAGCTCTGAAAATAGACCTCAGCTGCAACCATAAACACAGATGATTGATCCCCACACCGATGTGGGGTTTGGGGCAGCATGTCTCTGACCGTGTGTGAAAGCTACTGTAGAATGCCTGATGTCACTCTGGGAACAATGAGGTGGCTTTCCTCTTTTACCCCCGCTGTTTCCCCTCACCAGGCAGGCTGATGATGATGACAAGGAGAGGAATGCGGCAGATTCCGGAGGACCGAGGAGGCGGCTCCYTGGTTGGTCTGATTCATCCCCTCACTCTTTCTTTTTTGTGTGCCACAGTTATAGCAGGCGTGTCCTTACAGCCTAAAAGGGAAGATTCCAGAAAGGCAGTGGACGCATGAAAGAAGGGAACACCTACAGGAGCAGCAACAGTTTATGATACGGACTAAACCAGCTGTGGTGGTTGGAGTACACACTGAATTCGTGAGCCCGACATACTCTGATACACTGCATCAGTTCTTCTGGTGGCAGATTTTACTCACACAGCTGAAAATAATTAGTGCAGAGCAAAGTTCTGCATGGTTGACTCTCACTGACCACAACAAAAGAACTCTTTCCACTATGTAGCCGCCGCCATCGGGATGCGTCACAGTACTCCAAGAATGAAGGTGGCTGCAGAATAAAAAGATAAATTACAAAACCCTCTCTGCAGAAAAAAAGACGGTTCAATGAGCATCTGATTAATGTAGAGCTTTTGAGCTAGTGGTTCGTGACGGTTGGTGATAAATGGCAAACAGCATTCGTGAAGAAGTTTCCAAAATGTCTCCAAATATACACAAGGGTTCTCCATTTCCTCATGAGTCATGGTCATTTTGAATATATACAGCGGGTAAAATAAGTATTGAACACGTCACCATTTTTCTCAGTAAATATATTACTAGAGGTGCTAATG